CAATGTATTTATTGCCTTGTACCTGATGAACACGTGCATGTGTAAGCACACTGACACAAAGTACACTAACAGCAACAAATTCACCACAACAGCTGAATATACTACGGCAACAGAAATTGTTTCAAGATTGTCTGATAAAGTGCAAGTTGATGCAGATATCGACAAAGCATAGAATTCCACCATCATGTTCTTCAAAGCTGTGAAACGTTTGCTTCACTTTTCTGCCTCATAAAAGGAAATGACCTAGATGAGAATTATCTTCAGGTCCTAATTCTAGTTGGGGTTCTACAATGAATGCCCAGAATATACACATCTTACTCTTACCCTCTTCCCCATGCAGTGGAGATGCAGTACTCTCTGATCTCATGCAGCCATTGTTATTTTCATGTAACTTGAGTCTTCACATGGTTGCACTAATAAAAAAACCCACCATCAAATAATTGCAGAGAATTTAACAGCAGTGAAGTCAATAGTTTTTCTTACATGAAAAGCAAAAGGAGCAAATGCAAGAAATATTTCCTGATAGGATCTCCATGCAGTATGGGGCAAGATAAGCAAAACATAAGCATGTTACCACAGTTTTCTCAGCATTTATGACATAAGTTTGGTCCAGTACATTAAGGCAATACTGAAGATGCTTTAGCTCTGTTCAGTTCTTTGTAGTAAAGAAAAAGGAATAAGGCAAACCTAATCATTTGCAATGGTATAACTAGAATAATGGTATGATGCTAGTAGTATGATTACATAAACTGAAAAAAAAATTAAAAAATTCACACCCTGTTGTGGTTTAACCACCACCAGCAACTAAGTGCCATGCAGCCACTCAGTCACTCCTCCCCCTTCACAGTGGGATGAGGAGGGTAATCAGAAAAAAACAGGAAAATTCATGGGTTGAGATTAGAAGAGTTTAATAAATAAAAATAAAATAAAATAAAATATAACAATAACAAAATCTGATAGTAACAACAACACTAATAATAGTAATGAAAAGGAAAATAATAAAAAAAAAAAAAAGAGGGAAGAATAAAATCCAGGAAAAACAAGGGATGCCCAGTGTAGTTGCTCACCGCCTGCTGACTGATGCCTGAGCCGTGATTGGCCCCTCCCGGACAATTGTCCCCAGCTTATACACTGTGCATGACATTCTCTGGGCTAGTTCTGGTCAGCTGTGCTGGCCATGCTCCCTCCCAGCTTCTTGTGCATCTGTTTTGCTGGCAGAAGATGCGAAACCTAATAATCCTTGACTTAGGGTAAGTGCTGCTTCACAACAACTAACACTTCGGCATGTTACCAGCATTATTCTCACACTAAATCCAAAACACAGCACTGTACCAGCTACTAGGAAGAAAAGTAACTTTATATCCCAGCCAAAACCAGGACACACTCATAGTTCATAGAGCTGCTGGTAAAGAACTGTGTTTATGAAAGACTCCACAAAATTATTAAGACAAGATTGGATGGCTATGAAAAAAAGAGTTAATAAAGCACATCAAGATATGAAAATAGCTGGAAATGAAAGCTCTTATGAAAATGTACTTGTTAAATGACTCTCATGTGTCAGAGAGTAAATTCTGCCCAACCCTGGAGTGCTACCAGAGCGCATGAACATATCAGTGATTTGAACTCCCAGGTAGAATCAGTGAAGCTGGCTGTCACAATTGAGCACAAATGATAGCATCAATAAGCTTGCAACAGAAACCAGGAAGAAATGGATGGGGCCAAACTGATCCCTGCAGACAGAAATGGTACAGAACAGTTAAAGGACTGTGTGCCTTTTAGGATAGCTGTCCACTTTTTTTGTTTATATCAGCTCTTCTAATAAAAAAATACCCATTTCCAGAGACCCTTGGGTTCTCCTATATCCTGTAATTATTACAGCTGGAAGACTTCCACACAAGACTGTTAAAAACTCTACCTGCCGCATTCTGACAAAAAGAATAAAGATTAATAAAAGTAACAATTTCATTTCAAATATGCTCAGAAGTCAAGTTTACTCCTGGATTTCAGAAAATCTCCTGTATGGAGAATGTATTATTACTGGCACAATTTGTAGAAGAGCAACAGAAAACAAAATATGTTAAGAAATACAGAACTGGCATGGAGCACCTGATTTCCAGTCAGCTCTGAGATCAAAACACCAAATTTTACAGCTACCACGAGAATCAGTGGGAAGCAGAAAGTGGAGCTGCACTGCTGTACAAACTGTGTAACTACCTTGAATGATTCTCCTTCCCTGGAAAAAAGGATAGATGGAAACAGGGCAACTAGTCATGTAGGAATTTATTTCAAGATGTGACATTTTGTCTTCCTTCAGAGATTTCCTCTGAACTTTGAACAATGTCACCTCCTTCAGATCACCTTCTTCATGACATCAGAGCAGCCAATAGCTTTCAGATTGTTTAGAGTTATCCAAAATGTAATGAGTGGTAGACTAGATCATTAATTATGTTGGTTAGCCAGAATCAACCTCTTCCTCTCCACCCAGTTGGGTTTTCTGAAGTGAGAGTAAAAAACATACAGAAAAACTAACCACTGACAACTAAAGCTACTAAAGACGTATGGAAATAGCTGTTTTGAGGTGTTGCTTTTGCACCCAACATTTTCAATCTAGCAAAACGTTAACTGCATCTGAAGATCATGATGGATAGAATGTAAGGAAAGAAATAAACACTGCAAGCAAAATAAAATAGGAAAACAAAATGTCTTTCTTCAATGGCAATACACCAGAACGAAAAAATGAGGCTGACAACTTTTCAATGCTCTGGAGGTTTGGTTGAGTCATTCACCACCACTATACCTGCTCCATTACATATTGTTCAAGCATTTTTGGCATTATCTAAAATGGGAATGGGGCAAGAAAATGACAAGCAGCCCTTGCCATCTTCCGCTTTGAGGTAGCTGTATTAACAGTACATTGCTAATTCAGAGAGATAACTCTCTTATTGGTATGATTTAAACACTGAGCATGTTTGCCAGAAATGGATGGGAATTAACTCCTGAGCACTAGCCATTGTTTTTTTTTTACACAATTTATATGGAATATATTGCTATTTAACATGCAGATGAAAAAATTTCCTGTTTAAAACATGTACTTTTGTCTTCAGTCACTGATCTATTGCTAATGGGACACAATGTCACCCATAAAATCATTCTTTTATAGTATGTTGAAGTGCATTACAGCATTATTTTACAAAGCTGCATTCAGTGCACTACAGAACTTCCACTGTCTGTTTTTCATAAAATTTTAATGAAGCCTTTAACCTTTTTAAGTTATGTATTGCTAGCCACAAAGGGCTGAAACATCTCTTTGTGTATCTGTACTCAATTTCTAGTTGGCAGAAAGTTAAATTAGTTTGTCCACAGTCCATCAGTAATCTACACTTGTCCACTTCTTATTACAGATTGGAATTGGTACAGTGATGTCTCTGTCAAGTGTGTTGTATACTGGAAAATGCATTTCATTAATACCTTCATTTGATATAAATGATGCACACGCAGTACATCAACCATATATGCTTTCACAAAACTGAACTCAAATGAGTTATCTGGAGCTGGAGCCCACTGGGAGTGTTGGCACCTGAAACACAAGTCCACCTCTGGTACAGTATAAATATTACTGCCTTCTCCCAAACTGCCTTTCCTGTGCTCCTTTTCCTGGACCAACTTTTCTCTTGGAGGTGGCAATCAGCAGGATGAGGTCTAAATGACATAGGGTTTGTCACTAAGCCTTAGTATTCTTAGCGCAGAGACTTCCCTGTAGTCAATATGCAGATGAGTTTGTGCTTCAGAGAGACAGTTCTGAATTAAATTAGTGTAAATTAGTTTGATCTACCTATTGTATAGCTGTAGCTAGCATAGAGACATAGCTCATCTTTGTCCTGACCATCTTCACACAAAAATATATGCTCAGATTATTTGCTAAAGGAGGAATTAACTAATACAGAGAATAGTTATTTCTGTGTCAGTATAGTAGGAACCATTTCAGAAAAAAAAAATACCAAACAAATATCAAGCATGTTGTGAACTGAATCAAGATCTCAAGAGCTAATACTGCTTTTTCTTTCGAGGTACACTCTTGACAATTGTTGCAGTTTTGAAATGTTACACACTGTGTTCTATGAGACTCTTGGTTTAAAAATTACAGTAAACCAAATAAAGTGAAACATTTTTTAATTCCCTTTTTAAATGTGCATTTGAATTCAATACAGATCTGTAAGGCACTCTCATAGGTTAAAAAAAAAAAAAATTAAACATTCTTTCCAAAATAATGACAGTCACAAGGCAATGGTATGTGCATAAAATACAACCTTATCTGTAACCAAGAAAAAATGAAAGATGAATGCTCAGGTTTTGGATGCATTGCAATGTAATGGCATTTCTGTATCATGACACTATGCAGAGTAAGTATTGGCACTGTAAATGATTTCTTGTTGGGGTTAGGGGCTTGTATTCTCTTCATATCCCAGCAAAAAAATAAACTCTTTAATAAATAAATATATAAAATAAATATATGCTATCTGGAGATGTATAAATAAGTCCATCCTGAAGAAAAGTTCCAGCTTTGACTATGATGCATCAACATCAAAGGTCTGTCACTAAAGTGGAGGCAGTAAAACTTCACATACAGTCCTCATACTATTTCACAGTCCATTTCTTTCTATTTCTTCCAGCTGTTGTCTCATCCACATGATGTACGTAGTTTACTAATTTAAGGACAATAGGTAATCCAGACAAAATTGCCAAGAGTGTTTTTTTAAAAAAGTCAAACACCAATTTCCCTCTGGTTACTGGCTGCCAAACAGTCCAGCAAGTTTGAAGGAGGCTGGGCCACCCTTTGCTGTTATTTTTTTTCCAGAGTTTAGAAAACAGAGGCTTGCGTATCACAAAACAGCTTCTTCCAAACCAGCACCATAGACCTCTGCAGATTCCTCATGCTGGTACTGCCACAAAAGCACAGGCAACAGCTCCAGTGTGGGTTTTTTCCAAAGTTGCCTCCTTCCTCAGCTGTATCCTAATACATCTTTGTACAGTTCTGGAACTCTTTCAGGATCCACGGGCCGGGGCAAGAAATGTGTGAATTTCTGGTGTCTTTTGGACCTCGCCCCATCTCTGGGAGTGCCGTCTTTGTTAAGTGCTACGAAGTATCGTCGCCCTGAATCCCCATGCTTGTACACGTTGGACGAGTAAGTGTTGTACCAGTTTTCCTCAAACTGTTCCCTGAAGATGCATTCAGAAGTTAGTTTCTCCTGAAGACAGAAACAGCAAAGAAAAGTAAGTCATCACTAGATACCTGAACACACGTGAAAAAAAATATGATTAAAATTAACAAAATGTTTTAGGTTTTGTGCAGCCTTCCTGTTGTTCATTTAAATGTCAACAAATCAAACCTAAGAAGAGTGTGCAGACCTGATGTGAAGTTTGAAAGCTTACTTTAATCTTTATTCTTTTGAAAATTGGACCTGTAGACAGACAATAACTCTCTCACTAAGGAGTCATAACATTTTTTGAGATGTGGCTAAAATCTATTTGACCTACAGGAACTACACTGTGTAGAGCTCTGTCTTGTGGCAACTATCACTGTAGCAATGAGAGTGGATGGAGGGATTCGGATGGAATGTAACGGATCAGGAAGGTATTTCCATGTGTTCTTTGTTGTGTGCATCAGTTCTCACATTTTGAACAGGACTAAGCACAACCAAAGGAACTGGAGAGACAGAATATTTTACCTCAAGGTGTTTTAAGACTTGAAAGGAAAAGAGCCTAAGATTGTTACTACCCTGATGGCATTGGGAAAATCAAAATCATATATTTACAGTCATATGTTGAAGTTATTCACCAGATACAAATCAACATTCTTATTTTCATTCTTAAAAATACTGCAGTCAGCATCTCCAAATACTGCCAGTACTCCAGCATCATTCAGATTTTTCACATAACAGTGGTACCTAACTGTGACAAAGAGTATTATCCTCTTTTTCCCATCATTTAAAATAATGCTTTTATGTTAAAAAGCTGGTACTCAGAAGTGCCACCTGTTGATGTGTAAAGGAGCATTAGGCTATACGTAACTCAGGATATTATATTACTTGTTGTTTATTTATTTCATAAATATCCTTTTGTCTTTTTTCCAATTGCATTCAATGTTTCTGATGATGAAGCATGCACTATGATACATCTGCAGTATTATAAAAAGAATATCAGAGAGCAGGCCACTTCACTGTTGTTTGAATAGCTGGTTTAATTTTGTCATGATTTAAGAGGAATATTTCTTTTCGGTTCTCTCGTCTAGGACAGAGAAACTTCCCTTGTTGACTCTTTAGAATCCAAGGCTATACGGTATATTTTAATAATATATATTTCAACAGGAAAAGATGTTATTGTTTTGAAAGCGAAGATGACCTTAGCTAGCCACTTGAGGGGTTTACATTAGTGCTAAGAAGTGAATCAAAACCTCAACATGTATGAGCTGACACAAAAGGGCTACTTACAGAGCCATAGAGTTCTCCTTTCTCGTTCATTCCAAGGTATAGGCCACTGTCCACGCCTCTAATACTGACCAGTCCCACTGCCACACTGATGAATTCAAGAATACCTGGAAAAAAAAAAGATTGATTTAATTCAACTTGTAAGCATACAATACGTAGTATCCAAAGCACAGTTGAAAACAAGTAGAAAACGTACATCATATAATAAATGTGGCCTAGTTTCTCTGACATTTCAAATACTATATGGAAATATATACAACATTCACAAGAAAGCAGTCTGAGAAGCCTCATCTAGGAATAAGAATCCTAAATTCCACTTAGGAAAAGAAAATTTTTAAATTGTGAATATGAAAGGGGTTTATTCAGCACTGAGGCTAAAGCCTCCAGCGCCATGCAGCTGGAATCTATAATGATTATACACTATTTGCTAAACTGCCTACTCAAACATTGGAAGATAGGTTTGAATTACCTGAAAATACACTTCACTTTCTCTATAGCGTTATCTTAAAAAAACATCCATTATTAGATCATTTGAATGGAAATCAAAGTACAGATGGGAATTTTATAGAATGGAATCTACCCAGAGGAAAAAAAAAAATAATTTACCAGACATCTTATCTAGCACATGGGCCCACACCTCTTGACACAACTTGCTGTCTTTAGTGTGGGCTTCTTATGTGCACGAAATACGCTGCTTATTTGCTAATGTTTGGGTTATAGCATTGTTTATACTACATTTGCCCAAAAATGTAACATATATTAATAATATATTCGGGAGATGAGGCACTATTTGAAGCTTGAATTTGGCAAGGGTATGCCAACATATTTAACCAATTGATATGCACAGATTACAGTACATATAAAACATGAAAGAAAGGGAACGTGTGAACTGGCTTTTTGGAAGTTGTTAACAATGTAAACAAAGCCTCAAAAAGAAGTTGTTCTAGAATCATACCCAAGACTGCTCTGCAGCAGCAAAACCACAAAACATCAAAAAAACCCACAAACCTCTGACTGCAAGGTAAGTGGTTTTAAATTGTGCATTTGATTCTGATGACGACTTTTTGTCTTCTTGCTGTATCTGTGATTTGTCTTTTTCATTTGAGACCATTTTTCACTCTCAGACAGATGGACTGTCTGGACTACACAATAATTTAAAATTTTTTGCATTTTAATTGAGCTCTGGCAGGTTTCTTGTTTACATTACCAGGCAGCAAAGAAAATAAATCCTTTCCAAAGAGTAAGCATTGAAAACTCCATTGCATGTAAAACACTCTAGTTTTCCAGTTCCTAAAGCACAAAGTCCCATAAAAAGAGGTGGAGGTATTCTGTCTTTCTGGTATCATTTTCAAAGCCACTCTTTTTCAAAACTATAATAAGCAGGTGATTCAGCTCACAAAGCAACCACATCAGACAAACCTGCCGAGAATAGTGGTAGAATAAAGGAAGAACATTTCTAAAAAGCCCAGTGAATGTTTGATCTGGGGCTAACTTTTTTTTTCCCTTTAAAGCAAAGATTTATTTCATGTTTACATGCTGTAGGAAATCTTTCTGAGAAGAACTGTCTGTTCGACTGCTTCTCTTTTACTTCTGAAAACATCCATGTGTTATAAAAGCAATTAAGAGCCATTCCAGCAGATTGTTTTGACTATGGGGAGGCTGATAGGAAACTCTTTAATCACCTTTTTACAGCCGCTAAATCAATACACACAACAACTCACATGTAGTTGACAACGGCAGGTTTGTTCAGATGTTCAGATCCTGTAACTACCATTTAGGATTTACTCTTCTATCACAGGAAACATTTGCATCTTGGAATTGTCTTCTTTTCGTTTATGGACAGAGAAAGTTGACTGGGAACCCTCCTAAGTATTTGAGCATTGAGGCATTTTAGGCCTCTCTGCTTCACCTTTCTACCCTGCGAAACAAAGCCGCCTAACGCAGCCTCAGGGTCAGCAAGCCCGAGCCCATGATCTGTGTTCCCCTACAAAGCCTCAAGCAGCTCCGGTACGGGCAGTGAAGGGGAGACGAACCGGCCGACCTCCCGCCTTGGCACGGAACCTGCGGGGACCGCCCGAGCGGGGCGCGCACTCACCCCTCCCGGCTCGCGGGGACGCGC